TAGAGGAGTCTTCTGAGTGGTTTTGGGGAATCTTTCCAAGCTCTCCTACCTTTGAACTCAGTGACATCTCATGTATTTAGACTTGAGCATTGGTGAAAGTGCAAATGAAATGCTGTTAGGCTTCTCTGAGAGCTGGTTCTGGTGTGTGGAGACCTTAACTTCCCAAGCAGAAGGTTAATATATCTGGCCCTTGAGGTGACTTTATTGATGGTCTCCCTTCCTTCTGCTCCTCAGAGCATGTGTCCGAGAACTCAAACTTTGCATTCTTCATCTACATCTTACTAAGCTCTCTCCAGAAACTCTCAAGTTTCTTGTTTGTTGTCCAGTGTTCCTTATAATCTGTTGATACTTAATTCCTGTATTCTTAGAGAAACTTATCAGTGCTCTTGTGAATTCTGAAATTACCAGCTTACTCTGCAAAGGATGAGATCTCAGTGAAACTGGGAAGGGAGTGCTTTGGATTGAGCGGTATTTACATGTGCTGTCAGTTAATAGCCTTTTTCTGTCTCCCACTTCATATTGTATGGTGGTTTTGTTCATTAATTTTAAATCGCCATTTAAAAGGCTTATCTAGCTAATCTAGAGCATTTCAGGACTGCAAGCTGGAAAAGCAGATAGTCGAGGTATCCTACTTCAGAACTTTGCCTCTCCTTGGACAGAACATACTTATCTTAAGTTACTGTTATTCTGTTCTTTCAAAACTGCTGTCGAAATATTAGTCACCCTCAGGCATGAGAGAGAAGTCTTGTCAGATCACTGATGTCTGCAAATGACCAAATTTATGATGGTGTAGAATGTACCAAGCTGTTTCTGAGGGAGACTGAATCTAAGATGAGTGCTGTAAATAAAAAGGCAGTTCACTGAAGTCGGCTCATCTACCATGCTATGGAAAGCAGTGGGAGTTCAGAATGGCACCTTTTCTTGACCTTAATTAGGCCAAAAAGAAACTTCAGATACTTGAAGTTTTCCATGAAGGTATCTTTCTTTCGTAATACGAAATCTCCCCTTTTCCTGGGGTGTAACATACGCTCTTGAGTGTGATGTGCTTCCTCTTCTAGTAAGACTTCTAGGCTTGCCTTAGAATAGCCATTCAATGAACTTACGAGGATTGATAATGCTTTCTTGTGCAGACTGAAAAATGAGTTTTGCTGAGTCTTGCTGTAGAAATGGTGTGTTAAGGTATCAAGTAATTTTATTAGGTTACTGACAGAAAGAAGTGACAAGTTGTGCTGGGAGAAGAGTTGGGCAAAAAGTTACCTTTTCTGTATGTCTGTGGAGAACTTTATGTAGGGGTGACATCTTCAAGTGTAAATTCTCCAGTAGTCAGAGTTTTCAGGTAAGGCAAGTGTGAGATGTAGTGAACAACGCTGAAATCACTACAGAGGTATAAAATGATTAGCAAAGCAGGTGCCCCTCAGTCTGGGGGCTGCACCCTTCCTACTGTGACTCACTAAAGTGGAAGATACCGAGTCTAAAGTGAATTCAGGTATCAGATGTGACTTACCTACTTGGTGCTTTAACATGTCAGCTTCAGCTGTGAACGTGTAGAGTCTGGTAACAGACCTGCAACTGAACTGTATTCCTCCCTTATGGGGCTGTTGTCCGAGGCGACAATTCTTAGTAGCTCACTAAAGCTTTTAGCTGCTTGTACTCATGACTGAATTCAGCAACACTTGAACCTGTCTGCAAAAAGGGGGAGAACCTGCTGCACTGACACAGCTATGCCACTTAGCTGTGAGTGCACAAAGTACTTGCAAGGTAAGAGGAGTGTAATACCAGCCTGTTCCTGAACAGGAAAAGCAGGGTGTTTCTCACCGCCTGACACAGCCGTTTAACAGGGTCCGTGGTGCTGCATGGTGCGGCAGCGTGTTAAAGCTAGCTGCGCCACACTGCCTGGGGATGGGAGTCAGCGCAGAGAGACCGTGCAGACAGAGCACTGCTGGTTTTCTGCAGGCCTCTAGTAATAAGTACCATCTTTCTGAGAGAAGACAACTGCCAGGAAGGTTTTTTGTGATTCAGTGATGGCAGCCTTTGTTGAACATAGGCTTTGTTGGGTTTCATTTGGAAAACAGCTTAGAGAAGGTATACAAAAATCCAGTACTTTGCCTTGCTTCCTGGTTTTTAAGCAGCCACCATTTTCTTAGGAAAATGGTTATGTAACATCGCTGTAACTGCATGCCTGCCAGAGGCACCGACTTTGTGTCATGTTGATTAACAAAAGGGGGTTGGACACAGATGTGCCTGTTACAGAACATAATTAAGGATGCTTGCGCTTACCTGGATCAAAACCCAGCAGTGGGCGCAGACATGCTGAAGACCTGACTGTCAATGTTGTGTTTGTTTCGGTTCTGAGAACTTTCTCTTATTACCCAAGATTGAGACCAAACAACAGTTACACTTTCAGCTGCTGTGTTGGATTCGATGTGTGCCCTAGAGAAATAGGGACTATAATTAGGATCATCTTCTACTTCTTCCTCTTAACATTGTTTATTATCAGTGTTACTTCAGTTGTTAGCAGTATCCATAGGTTTCACAGAGGGCTTTGTATAAATATCTCACATTTAACATGGTCTTCAGTTTCAGACTAAATTGGGCAGTTGATCGAACTGGGAAATGGCAAGAACTGGAGTACCCAAGTCCTGCGTATCCAGCCTTTGCTTGTGGGTCTGGCTACGTCATCTCCAAAGACATTGTTCAGTGGCTGGCAAGCAACTCTGAAAGATTAAAGACGTACCAGGTAGTAAAGCGTTGGTTCAGTTTTTCTCTCTTAAACTGGTCTGGGGAGCAGCATGTGTACTGGATGAGCTGGAAAGAACATTGCTCAAGTGTTAGTGTTGGGTTCCCCTGGTTGATGCTGGCTTTTTGCAGTGCTTTTGGTCACTACGCTTAGTGTCTGTTCTAGGTCAAAGCACAACTGTTTTGGACTGAGAACCTCTGGAGCTGTAACCTTGGTTTTTGTACTGTCTTCTTTTGAGAACAATGTATTATCACAGGAAAGCTGGGAGGATTAATTCAACACCTCTAAAATAGACATAGGTTTTTGTCATTACCATTTTTCACTGCTGGTGCATGATGCAACTCATTCTAGTTCACAAAGTCATGGTTTGTGCTAATATCTGTATTTTTTATTTTAATGTGTTGTCTCAGGGTGAAGATGTAAGTATGGGCATCTGGATGGCAGCTGTAGGACCCAAGCGATACCAAGTAAGTCTGAAGACATTCTTTGATCTTACAGAAAGAGAACATGCCTGTTGTACCAAGTAGCACAAAATAGAGGAAATGCTTTTTCTTTTAAAAAAAATTGAAACAGCCGTTGGATTAAAATCCAGAAAACACTTGTTAAAATGTATTTAAAAGAAAAACCACGGAAAACCCACAAACCGCGCCCCCCCACCACCAGCAGCCCCCATCCCCACCCCCCCCAAGTTGTCTGAATAGGTCTAGCAGATCAGAGAGGGACATATATCTCTAGTTGGTGACCTCTGTGTGCACATTTGTTGCTAGAAATAATGAAAACCTGATTCTTGGAAGTAAAGATTGTTGAAGACTAAATTTTTTGTAAGAAAACCTATTGAAATGGTTCTCTCTCTCTAACAGGATAGTCTATGGTTGTGTGAGAAGACATGTGAGAGTGGCATGCTGTCTTCCCCCCAGTATTCTCCACAGGAACTGAGAGAGCTCTGGAGATTAAAGGAACTGTGTGGAGATCCTTGCAGATGTGAGGAAAGATGATGGCCTTGCCTTGGAAAACAGGGTAGCATATAATGATCATGGAAAAGTGTACATTTGGATTCATTCTTGGAACAATGAGGAATATTAAGGTATCTTTTAATGTTGGGTTTCAACTAAAGTATAACAATATTTGCACATCCCTTTTGATAATTACAAGTGGACTGATACTATTCATTTTCTATAGTATAGATGTTGATCTGACAAAAACCAAAACGTTTAAGATAAAAAATTTCCTTTTTATATAAAGTCAGAGACCTACTTGTAGTTAATAAATGCACATAAGAATGCCAACTAGCCTGTCTTTTGTAAACTAAAGTACTACTGATTTAACTCAGTATAGAGCTGTACCAGGATCAGTGGAGAGCTGTGCTCAGCACCAGGGCATCTGGTAAGTCTTGCTGCAGCAGGTTCTGTGCTGGCCAAGGGGTTGCTCTCATCGGTGCAGGGGCTGGGACAGCTAGAGGTTAGGTGTTTATGTTTAGTTTGTTTATACCATTGTCATTTTAGATACAAACAGTATCGAAGTTTGCTTATACCAAATCTAGAAGTACTGCAAACTTGGCCTGATTAGGAGGGATTTCTGATAGCTCAATGTGTTATTAGATATGAATCTGAGGGTACACAAGTGAAAGGTAAAATAAGATTGAGGAAGAGCACACTAAAGAATGTAAAATACATAGTGATGCCTTGCAGTATGCTGAGAACTTATTTATACTGTGGCATGTTAATGCTGTAGGGTAGAATAAAGGTCTGTCAGATTTTGACCTTAAGTAGTCTAAGGCTGTGTAGATACTTCTACAATTACTGCTGTTTCACTTTTGTTTGCTTTAAGGTCTTTGGAAGTAGGTGAAAACAAAAGAGCAAGTAGTCTCTTTCCATGCAGCACTAATTTTGTCCTATTACAAGCAAAGAAATCACAACTAAATCATGTACTCAGTTCAGTAAAAAATTCTCACTGTTGCAATGGGAAGGTAGTATAAAACCTTGGCAAAAGTTACCTTGAGTTTTATTTAATTGAAGCATTTAAGCACTATTTGGTATCTCTCAAGTAAAGACAATTCAACCAAAAGCAAATGCTTTCCTGGAGACTGACAATTAAGTTTAGGAGCTGAAAGTACTATTGTATAGCTCTCTAGTGCCATGGATGAAATTCACGCTCTCCCATACGTGTGTTCAGGCACAGGCTGTCCATATGTCTGTGGGCAGTCCGTAGCTCTTCTGCAGTTCCAGTGTCGGCTCTTCCTTCAGTCTATCAAGAGAGTCCCTTCTTACCACCGTACTAACACACAGTCTCCATTTTCTATAGAGTAAAACTGCAAAGGCTTTAAGTCATTGTCTAGTTCAACTTCTTTTCCTTCCAGCTAGAGTAAGAAAGGAAAAAAACCCAATCAGACCCAGAAATCTGTTCATGTAAACCAAATACGATCAGGCAGTGGCAGTCAGGGAGGATCTGTCATATTACAGGAATGAAATTAGGTCCTAAATTACAGCAAGAAGACCGCCCTCCTTAGGTGAGATCAATTTCATTAGGTAGTATTTTAGAACAGGCTATTGACCTTTAGCAGCATGCAGTATTGTTGAATTACCCATTTTTAACTCACTTTAGAACTTTCATAGGACAGTTTCAGTTCTGAACCAGGAATCTTAAGTAGGCGATACAGCAATCCTTTGACCCTCTGAATAGTCATAGACTCTGTCAAGGGGAAGGAAAGAAAAGTTATTTGAAAAATGCTGCTACCACTGAGCTGTATCAAAGTACTAGCGTTTCAACTATACTTGCTTATAGCAACAGTGAAAGGCCGTATTGCTGCTTCAGTTCTAACACTGCAATAATGTCTTTTCACGTCTTTTGTACCTGAAACCGTAACTTCTAGTATCAAATTGAAAGTGGTTTAATCTCTGGTGGATAGGACAGGATATGCTACTACAATTTAAGCGCTTTGAGTCCATATACCAAATTAAAGTGTTACAGCTTCATAATTTACCTTTTTTGAGTTTGTATTTACTACATGCTAAACTAAGTGACCTTTGGGACACATACCAGTCAGGTTCTGACCACATGCATCTGGCGACTGTTCCTTGAAGTTTTCATTACCAGGAATTGGCATTCCCAGCACAAATACATGAATGTCACTGTGGAACTAGTGCCATTCTTAGAAATGGTTTTACATTAATTAGTCCAAACAAATTGCCAGCAGAGTTGTAGAGTGGTTTATATTATGAAGTCAGTTACACGAAGGGATATTTTTTGTAATGGATCTTGAATAAGTAAATGTAGTTTGTTCCAGAGGTGATACCTATGTTTGCAATAGACATACTCAATATTTTGGTTGAACTTTCACTTCTTTTGAAGCTTTATCTAAAGGCACAGCAATAGTGAGTTATTCCTGTAATACCACACATTGTACTTAGACAACTATTTTTCTATCAAACATTTTTGTAAAAGCTGTATCTATCTGATTTTATGCAACTTGTGATAATAAATGTGATTTTTATTTTAGAATAAAGCTTGAGTAAGTCTTTTCTCTCAGACTCCATTCTGACACATCTTTCCAAAACACCAGTTTGATTTAGAACAAAGTCTATTCATTCTAGTCTCACTACAGGCACTGAAACTTCAAAAGACAAATTTGATACAGGTCAGAATTAGATTTCTAACTTAGTGTATTAGATACTAGATCTCAATATCTAGAACTGCAGACTACATAGTTGGCTTTTACAACTTCATGTTCTTGTTATTTGGTTAACACATCCACCAGATTTCAAACCTGTTAATTAGCCTTTGATTGCCTCAGATACATTAATCACGAAACCAGCAGCAGAGGTCATAAGACAAGCATCAACTTTCAATCTTCAAGCTGGACTGAAAGTAAGTATGAAGGTCAGAAAAATAATGACTTTTTCAAACAATTTCTACCTTTGTCATGTCTTTATATGACAGAGTCTTCAGGGAAGACTCTTCAGGAGCTGACAAAGCCAGAGGCAGCTGCAATTCTTTAACAGAGTTTTTTGAAAAGGAGCTACGAATCAACTGCTTAAACACAAGCCAAGACTTCTTACCTGGTAGCTTTTTCTCTACTGGCTTCTGTTCAGGTTTCTCAGGACATTTAATCGTCAAAGCTTAAGGAAGAACGGTGAGGCATTAGTGAATGAATGTTAAGCCCTGTTCTGTCAGAAGCACAGAGTCTTTCTAGTCTGTTTTTATTACAAATTGTTTCCCCTAACTCAGCCTGATCTTCTAAAAAAATTAGGATGCAGCCTGTATCTGAGCAGCTAAGATAGCATTTAGTCATTCTCTGAAAAATTAATTTTATTAAAATAATCAAGTTTTTATTAATCTGTGGTAAATTAAGGAAAATAGTTTAAAAGTGACTCCCTAATACTTAACATGTTTTTTTGGTCAAAACGTGTATTTACCTCAAAATGCTTAATTTCTAGTTAACTTCTTAAAATAACCTGCAGTAGAATGGAAATAGCTTAGTTTAAAGCAGGTTTTTGACCCTCAGACCCAAAAGCACTGTACAAGCACATTTTATGGAAGTTATTAGCCTAATTCTTTTACAGGGATTAAAAGACTCATCCTTAAAAAAGGTTTCTATCATTTCTAGCCAACTAGATTCCTTGTTCTATTTAGTCTTCCACCTAAATGCATTAGAATGTAATGCCTTAAAATACTATTTTTCCCATGGAGTAAAAAAAGGTTCAGTTCTTCTATCAACTGGGAAACGAAGTTAAGTGAATTTGTAAGTCTGGGATGTAACCTAGTTTAAGTATGTAGACAGCCCCAAATACCAAAGCTACCCGTACTTTTCTTGACTGCCCTAAAGTTAAGAAGCTATTAAAAAAAAAAAAAAATCAGAAAATAGTGCAGCTATTGAGGTTAAAAATCTCAAAGGTCTTCTGTAGAGAAGCCATTCACACTGTCAGAATGGAGTATTGATTACCTCTATTCTCCATTAAGTCTTAATTAAGAAAATCATTTGGCTTGGGTTGAGGGGGAAATGAGATGGACTACACAGAAGCAGGTATCTAGTCAAACTCATTGATACGCACAGTTCAGAGAAGCAGAATTACAAGCTGGAACTGTGACGTCTCAACAGCTTTTGAACCTTTTATTCTCCATATATACCCAGGAAACACTAAGCTCGTAAAATATTTTAAATGCAGAAGGAACAATTTTGACCATTTCTGGCCTCTTACTCAGAAGCTGGTTTTTCAGAGTCAAAGGCTGTCGTCCCTTCAGTTCTCCTTCTTCAGGTGCACCATATTCTGTGTGAAGGAAAGTGCACATAGACATGAACCCTTCAAAGACTAAACAGTAGACCCAAGAGCACTGTGGTGTTGGATCAGGCGTGAGCCTGCTACTCAGTTCCCTCAGCAGCTAGGATACTGCGTATAGAAAGTGGTAGGTGCCTGCAATGCTAAGTGCTGCAGACATGAGCCTGACCAACCGCTAGAGCATTTAGGAGGGCGCACAGGCACATGGGATGGGGTGGAGCAGGTGACAGGCACATGCAGGTGCTGCTTAACATTCCCACTTTAAAAAAGCCCCAGGTGGAGACAGTAGAGTTATGGGGCAGATGCTCACAGGTGTCATCCCTGAGGCAGCGAGCCCAAGTTCCAGAGGCAGCAGTGCCCGGAAGGGCGCAGTACTATGCGGCTGCCCCACAGAAGCAAAAGCCATTCACACACAGGCCTGCCACCGGGTGAGCTTTCCTAAGGCAGTAGAAGCACATCGAAAAAGCATCAAGGGGAAGGGAAACTGAAGAGAGACTGAACCAGTGCTGCCACAATGCCAGAAGTGAGGAAATGCTAATTTTACTGTTCTTGCACTTACTAAGACAAAGGGATGGGTATCTGGGATGGGCAGCAAGAAATTCTTCGCTGGGTTTGTTTTTCTCTGGGTTCCAATTCCCACCAGCTGCTAACCAGTCATTTCCAAATATTTTGCGATAATCAAGCTCTGCTCCTGAAGGATCTGTACTGACACAGGAATGGCACATAATATAATTACACAACTTTCCAGAGAAGAAAATCTAATTAATGACACTGACTTCTTGCTCTTACTTACTTAGGTGTTTGGTATGTTTTAATGCTATCAAGAATCTTACAAGCCCTATCTCCAAGTACTGACTAATCCACAAATGAGTATCTAAGCAAAGGCGTTACTGTATACGATGACACAAGGATGTTTTTTGTAGCTATGGACAGATGCTGCTTCTACCCCGTTGTATGATAAACATTTGCTAAAAGTTTGATTTGGTTTAAATAATGCCATTTTCCTATTACAGAAGGCCAATGCTTATTTTGCTGTCACTGAAACAGATTAAACTATGCTGCTTTTTCTTTTTTTTTGGCCAGAGTATGGTTTTTGTAACAGTCCTGCAATTTCAACATGACTCGAGCACTTGAAAAAAACCCACCATTCCTCCATCTTGTCATAGTCCCCACTGAGCTAGCAGTGTTCACAAACAGGGCTGGATCTTATAGCCCTACCGAGCGCCCCACTGACTAGGCGGTGGAATAGCCGGCTCTTTACTTTTCCTGCACCCAAACAAACAGTAATCTTAAAAGAAACTGAAAACAATTCCTCAGGCAATGATTTCATGTTTTTCCCCATGCAATTTGTTGAAGTATCACGTACCTCAGACTTGTTCAAAACCTCCAATTGACTTATCTTGGCAATAATTAGCTGTCTCAGGGTCTCTGGGTTCTTCTCTGTGTCCATGAAAGGGTTATTGTGACACTGCAGTGACTGCAAACTTGGCAGTTTATCAAGCTCATTGATAGATGACCACTGAAATGGAAGGGAGGAAACATAAAACATACTTCATTTCAGAACAATACACAGTAACATTGACTTTTCCTGTACAATGACCAGATTGAAACTATTCTTTTGGTCAGCAGAAGCAATTGCTTTCATGCTGTTCATTTAGCTAAGGAAAAACTGCATTACATTTAATTAAGGGGGGGGAGGGAAGAGGAACTACTCGGCATTTTAGATCATTAGAATTCTGCGAGAGGAATTACGAGGTAGCAGAGGGATATGACTAGCTACCATAAACATGTTTAACTGAGATGTTAAGAAATGTTTTTACATTTTTAAATTATGCCTCTCTGTTGATCAAAGTATTCAATAGTTACCTCAGGATCTTACACATACAATCAAAGGAATTTTAAAAAAGCAAATTGCAAGTTACTCTTAAACAAAGATACACGTATTTACAAAATGTGAAACTATCACAGTCTAACCTACCTGTGATATTTTATTGTCATTTATTGCAAGGCGTTTTAGTGAAGGAAACATTTTAGTCTTGCATCCTAGGAAACAAAGTAAATTTACAAGACAATAGTGAAAACTTTAAATAAACAGAATTACAAAGCTACAAATAAATTACTTCTTTTACATACCAAATCCAGCATCAGGAAAGTGTATAGAAGATATTCCAGAGTTTCTAAGTATTAGCTGTTCTAACCTGAAATTTAATAGCTACAATGATTACTGTACATACACAGGAAGTTTTTTGTAAAGAAATACTACCTCAATTTTTCTTTTAAACAAAGATCTAAAAAACTTTTGACACGACGCATAATCGCTGACAAATGAACAGCAGCTTCACAGACAGTACCCAGACTTCAGCAGAGTGTTCAGGGAATAAATTTTCCCAGAGAATAAGTGCAGTAATTTCAAGCTTTCAAAATGGCTCCTGGATTTAAATGGTGTGATTTTCCAAATGATTTTTTTACATAGCTTGTGGCTATTTAAAATCATGGCTGCTATTTTGGTGTACAGTGCAAGATAATAATTCCTCAAATAAGCAAAACTATTGTATTAGTTCCACAATTTTCCAGTCACTGCGATTGAAGTGCTTAAGGAACACACACCTGCTTTCCCTGGATGCTAACCCCAAAGCAAGGAATCACAGCTCAAGCCTGTAACTACCATAAAGACACTGCTATTGAGAGCACAGTAAAGCAGAAGGATCTGCATAAAGGGTATTACCACAGACATTCTTTTGAGAAAGTGGAAATACATTTACCCAATGCAGTATGGGAATTATACTGTTTGGGCTTGGTTTTTGGTGTTTGTTTTTTTGGTTTTTGTTTTTTTTTTTTTTTAATTTTTAAGCATGTCTCTTTCAAAGTCTTTAAGCTACCCCAAAAAAGCACTAAACTTCCAAAAGAGAGTGCCTGTGCAGAGGACGTGCCACACGCTTCTACCAGTAAGTAGAGTAACAACAGTAACCTTCCCCGTGGTTAATGATCAAGAGATAACAGAGACAGAATTATCACCACGCTTTTTTACCTCTCTCCAACCCCTCTCTGTTTTGCTTTCTTTACAAAGGACAAAGCAGTAGGCACCATGGGTGTAAAGCGCTCATGGCAAGCGTCCATCACCAACGATCTGTAGTGTGTCAGCCTTAGGAGTGACACCTTCCAACAAAATGCCCAACGGCTTTCTGCAGGCTCAAACGACCCCGAGATGGCTGTGTGGCTACAGATGAACCTGCATCACACCGTCATGGTCAGAAAACTGTTTCTAAGAAACGACTTCCATAGCTCCTTTGCCTTGCCACTCCACACAAACTCTACAGTTTATCCATCTTGGATAAAACCCTGTGCATACTAATATATAAAGAACTTAGTAATGTGATAAATCACTTTCATTTCATAAGTATATAATGAAAACTAATAACATGCAGCTTAAGAATGTGTTACTGTACAACAAAAATAACATTATATTAAAATAGCTCGATTAAAAAATTCAGTTACTCTCCTCAAGAGGGCAAAATGCCTCTATTTCAAGATTCTATAAATCTTACATGCAACATCAATACTATCATATTTCAGTCAACAAAGACTACGGGGATGAATATCCAGGACGAAGAATTTCCAGCAAATTCGTTTAACAGCTACCTGGGAAGATGCGCTATTAGATGCAGCTGATTTCCTTCCAGTAACTGGTTGTCTGAAAGGTCTAACAACTTCAGGGTCTGCAGGACATTATCAGGCCTGCCACATTGGACAAAACCAAACACAAATGCAGAACATTTAAAGTTATTTGTTAATGAAAACACTACTTTTCTAAGTATATAACTGCATGCAAATAATTGTGTACATTTATAAATGTTTTGAAGTACATCACGTGAAGTTTGCATCACTTATTTTACAATTACGTTGTGGTGATGTAAACATTACAGGAATGTAACTTTATCTGCTATGTAACTTTGCAGTACCTCAGTCACAAACGACTGACTTATGTTACTCATCTTACCTTTCCAAAACTGTAATATTATTAGAAGTAAGGTACAATTCTTCGAGTGCTGGCCATCCTGGAGCACAAAGAACCACCTAAGAGCAAAACTTCATTTAATATAACAAAAGTTGGGACAAATTATTCAGAAATTATACTTTACGCAGATTTCCTCAGAACACGTTCAGAACAAGCCATAGCTCCCAAAACCAGAGAAGCAAGTGTTATGGATTGCCTTTCTTCCAGCTGGCTCTTTCTGATCTACCAGCACGGATGACATCAAAGGGGTTCTGCACAGTCACAGGACTTACAGTTCCAGGCTTGAGGCTAGTAGCTGCTCTACCTCCGACTGTATGACCTGGAAACTGAGCCCATTTTATTCAATAGGATTGGCATGATCAGATTTTCCCTGTGTTAAGGTGAGGAAATGGCAGTATATACTCTACTGCTAATGGTTCTGGAACTTCTGCACATCTCATCAGGTCTGACAGACTTTTAAAATGTCTTAATTTATCAGAGCTTGAAAGCTTCTCTGTCATGGGGCTGTGCCAGCACATGAAACCACTAACAACCAAGAATTGCACTAAGTCAGCACATATCCTGAAGTTTTCAAGTACTCTAAAGAAAAAAAATTAGTTCAAAAAGGCTATAAATTGAACAAAGATGCATTTGTTTTAGATCTTATGTCTTGAAATTACATAAAAATTATTATTTTACTTTATAAAGATTTATTTTTTGCAAACATCTACAGAGATAACACAACTTTTAAAAATAAAACACTTATTACAAAGCAATAGAAATTGCTGGCATAAACCCCAGTTTTGTATGAATTATGACAGCGTCAAAAATTTTGCAGTTTTAGCAAATGGAGTTCCATAAGCACTGGAACTGACTGGTTTTCTACAGATTTGTGCCTGTGAATCGCAAATTACTTTTTTCGCTGAGGTTTTTCTTGGGTGTATTCTCCAGAGTCAAATTAAGTGTGAGCTCATCCTGCTACTCCTTCCTTGGTTAGGAAACTTAGAGGGGCTCCTTCCTCCATCTACATTCCTATTTTCTTGGAACTTGTAGGTAGTAAATTTTTTTTAAGCCCCCACCTCCTTTCAAAATGTGTTTGAAATTGGCTAGCAGATTCAAAGTTTTTGAGATGCAAGAGCAGACGTACACACGCACAGCATAATCGCCTAAAGCTTGTTTTACAGGAGGTTACAAAGGCTACAAAGCAGTGAAGTTCAGAGATCTGGACAATCAAATTCCATTTGTTATGTATATAGCTAACCAATTCTCCTATAAACGTCCACTAAAGCCTCCTTTAATCAACTATTCTTCATTCTTTCCGTTACAGCTGTATGAAGTTATACAGCTGGATAACTGGAGTTATGCAACTGTCTCATCATATATACAATACGAAATGTTAACACTTGAGATCTCTTCAAGTGGCAGTATATGATTTGGGGCTCAACTGCTTCACACCCAAAATATGAAACATCATCCTGCTGCCATATCTGCAACACATGTAAACTTATAAACTCAGATGTAACAACTTCTCCTGCTCCAGAGCAAGAGCAGGAAACACCAATATTTTATCTCTTTAATTTGGATAGTGTTTCCCTATGTCAACAAAACAGACCAAAATAGTTGTATCTGTTACTGATGAGGAAGCATGAAAAGAAGCCTGCAGAGTCAAGAGAAATCAGGTGCATGTTCACTACAGAGAACCTTTGGGGGATTCCCCCCAAAAGCCCTGCGTTGTGGTGGGTGGAACAGAAAAAATGCACAAAACTGAAGCATCAGAAGACTTTTCAATAGACTGACCAAATGACTAGAAAATTGCCAAAACCGAATGATAGTCACATCACAATTCTAAGAAACTCAAATTGCCAAATTTTCAACTATTGCTTAAAACAGCTTCCATACAGAAACAAAAGTTCACAGATCTGACACCGAATTAACACTCAGGAAAGATCGGGGGCTTGTTGTGGACAGCTGGTGGGGAGGCTGGGACGTGGAGTTGGCCAGTGGAGTAGCCACTGATGATCAAAAAAAAAAAATGGAAATCCAAGACCTATTGCATGAGAAATAAAGACAATAAGAAACAATTGTCACCATGTAAGTCCATGATGTTCCCATATTTTTAGCCTCTTTATGCCAGGAAGCAAATAATATAAATGGGAAAGGCACAAAGAAGCTTAACAAGAGTCATCAAAGCAATGAAGCAGAGAATGGCTGTTCTCAGTTACTTGCATATAAAATATTGGGAATTATTAGATGAAATTACCAGGCAGCAAGATCAAAAACCAAAAAGGGTATTTTTTCATACAGCACATAACTAAACTTAAGTTAAAAGATGTGGATATCAAAATTTTCAAATGGGTTCTTAATAAGTTAGGTAAATCATGAAACAAAAAATCCACAAAGATTAATTAAATACAGATATACAGTCTCCAGCTCAGAAGTCCCAGAATTCCAGATTACTTTATAAGAAGCTCTTACCATATGCTTGCCCTCTGCCTAGAATTTTTCCCAACTACCTGCTACTTGCCAGTGTCAGAAACGTGATCCTGCACCTCTACTCTAACCCAAATTTTTCTTTTACCCTGGATAATAGTAGATTATTTTATAAATATAAGATCTTAGTTTGAAAACAGAATGGCAAATATAACATTATGATCTAAATGCTAAATAAGAAAAAATGTTTTTGGAGCCATAAATATGAATTCATTACTCTCAAATGCATTAATTCAGTTTCTAAGTCAACGGTTTCTAACTGTAAGATATTTTACAGGACATCTTTCCCCCTTGAAGGTTGTATGTTATGTTGTGAACAATCAATCGACAATTATACAGTAATAAGCTCTTTTACTGATATATTAATAGAAATCTCAGATGGATTTAGATATACGCATATAATATACTAATGAAAACTTTTTGGAAAACTGATGCTCAAGGCATGTAAATGTGAAGTTATGCATATTGCATTAACAGTTAAGCATGTCCCTCTACTGTGAAAAATATTTCAAAACAGAGGAACAAATGAAAAAAAACCCACAAGTTTTCTCTTCTTTTTTAAAACTAACCCCATGCCATATATTCCTACATATGACAATAAGTTATTTGAAATGCTGTTCACTGTTTTCTAGAATTTCTAGAATTTTCAGACTTTGCTTATATTCCCATTGACAATCACTGAATTTCTCTTTTGCCTGGATCATATTCATTATTATTTTCTACTAAAAGGTTGACTTTTCAAAGTAACTCCCATATAGCTTAAGCAGCAACATTTTTAAGGGGTTTGTTCACAGAGTATTAATGTCAGGTAGGTCCCTTTATTTTTTCCCTTTTATTTGGCTGCCCTGGAACACCACTTTTAAGGACAGGCTTATGTCTCTCCACTTACAGGGGAATGAATCAAACAAATTTCAATTTTCTAAAAAAGATTTCTGAACCAAAACGTCTCTACCGCCTACGATGAATCGTCAGCTAGCGCAGAGTTTCAAAAACAAATGCAAAAGCTACGTAATTTTAAACTGCTCTGACTAACCTGGGGCTTCTCTCTGAAACTTAGATACCCCTAGAGTACTCTAATCTGCCTGAAGCAATGGCTCTGACCAACCTTTCGGCCACCCTGGTATGGAGAGCTGCTGGCAGCTGCCAACATTTTAAACACCACAATGCACAGATTTACTCTGATGAGCACTAGATGACATTTAAAGTGCTTGTAGCCACTTAATTCTTCCATTCACTTCACCACTCATATCGCTGCTGTTACAGAAGGATTATCAACTGTCCTAGCATAAACCCACTGATAGTTTAAGAGCACAGTAAATAGCTCACAGCTTAGACAGGTGCACTCTTCGCTGGGTAAAAAACTGGCTGGACGGTTGAGCCCAGAGAGTTGCAGTGAATCCACTGCAGTTGGCGGCCGGTCACGAGCGGTG